CAGGGCCACCAAGAAAGCAAAGGGCAAGGCCATTGGGAATCTTGCTGATGCTTCTGCCCTGGCTGAGATGGGTGATCCTGAGCCTTGGTCTCTGGGTTCTCTGAAGATCTTGGCTTGTTCGTTTGGCTTAAATAGGGAACATCTGAGGTTCCATTTTCTGAATACCCTCCCTTGTTTTCTACTTCTGTTTTTCCTTTCCTTTTTGCCTTCTCTACTTGGGGTTTGAGTAGAGTTTTGCAACATTTGTTTTCATCATTGTCTTCATTCCCCATGCCATCAGAGCCTTCTTAGGTATTTTCCTAATTAAATCATTGATTAAAATTTAGTGATAGAGATAAACCAAAATATATTTATACAAAATCTATTCCTTAATTCATACACTAAAAAGGAAGTGAAAGTTACTTGAATTAAGTACAATGTTAAGAATAACTAAGCAAAAATTTTAAGCTAAATGTTAAATTTTAAAGCTTTTAATAATTAATGACTTTATAAAAGTACTCTGCTTTTACTTTAGTATGATTAATTTCTGAAGGAATTTCAATTTCTCTTGTAAGTTATGTTTTACTTATAATTTAGTGATTTTGATTTTTGATATAAATTGTCATGTACCACATTATATGAGTTTATAAATCTATAGTATTTCTTTATAAAGAAATATTGAGATATCTTACAAAACTGAAATAGTATTAGTATAAAAGCTTTTATTCTTTTTTCACATGAGAAAATGATTTTTAACTTTTTAGCTGCTGGATGAAAGTTTAAATTCAAGAGTAGTTGAGGAAAGAGAGAAAAGATCAATAGAAGAAAAAATATGCATTATGATTTAGATATCCTAAAGAATCTTCATATTCTAATCCTAAATAATTTTTGCAAAACAAAAAATACTTTTGCTTAGTATCACCAATGGGATGTAAATGTAAAGTAATGGGTTGTATGATTGTCTTGTGTAGCCCACAGTATAACAAATATCCTTTCTCATTTCCTTTTTCATAGAAAGCAAAAGATATTGCTTCACACACTGTAATGCCTGAGGACAAACAGAAAGTAAAAAGTATATCTCAGTGATAGAAAGTGAAAGAAGGAAAGGAATAGCTTACTGGAGAAATTAGTGACAGAATACAGCATAATTTAATTCATTGAGCCCAATGACTTGGTCTGGGGTAAAGTAGAGTAAAATGGTTGAAGAGAATGTAGTAGGGCTGGCCTAATTATTCCCTGGCCCAGGGGTTGTGTTCTGCTTTACTACACTCTGCTATCGTGGAGAGGCTAGGAATATACACCCGCCAACTCACAATTTTCTCCACACAAAAGGAAAATTTATGAGAACCCAGTATTCTCACTGTATATGGAAAAAGTATTAACTGCATCATGTTCTCTCCTAGATAAATAAAGTCAGAAG